CAGGTGACTCGACGGCACATAACAACAACAACAACAAAATTGTTTTTCTACATCTGTCTGAAGAATTAAGCAGTTGTGTGTATCATGGGAGCTCTGGTAGCGTAGTGGTAAGTATGATGCTGCCCGTGCAAAGATAGGTGTGTTGGATCCACCAGCTTCTCCATGGGAAAAAGACAGGAATTCTCCCATGCAATTTACTGCCTCTGAAAACGGGCTAGAGGGTCAGCTTTGAGTCACTGACAAACACACGCTATATAACAACATATCTAAATACCATTTTCTTAGGAGTTGGACATTCAATGGAATCCAAGTTAACGTCTTTGGGAATTAAAACATGTGGAGACTTGCAGTATATGACCATGGGAAAACTCCAAAAGGAATTTGGCCCCAAAACTGGTCAGATGCTTTATAGATTCTGCCGTGGTTTGGATGATCGGCCAGTTCGGACTGAAAAGGAAAGAAAATCTGTTTCTGCTGAGATCAACTATGGAATAAGATTTACTCAGGTACTGACCTCTTAATGTTCTCTATACTTTTCGGTAGTTCCCTCTTCCCAGCTACATTATGAGACCTTTGATATTTGAAGTTAAGAATTAAAATAGTTATTTCCAAAACCTGAAGATCATCTTTAGGGGCAATGAATGGTAAGATACAGACCTAAGATAAGATTGGGAGAATACAGATCTTCAGGGAAGGTATAAAATAAATGCCTTAGTGCACACAATTACAGATTTATGAATGATAGAGTATAATTTTAGATCAAATTATTATTTAATTATCAGTAGAGTAAGAAAGAGACCAGAAAATATATTTTGCATGGACATATTTGACTAAGGAGGATAGAAGCAGAATTGATGCCTTTGAGCTATGGTGCTGGAGAGAAGAGTATTGAGGGTACCATGGACTGCTTGGGAAACAAACAGATTGATCCTGGAAAGGGTTAAACCGGGCGGCTCCTTGGAGGCAAGGATTCTGAGGCTTCGTCTAGCATACTTTGGACATGTTGTAAGAAGGGACCAGTCCTTGGAGAGGGACATCATGTTTAGTAGGGTGGAAGAACAGTGTAGGAGGGGAAGGCCCTCTCTGAGGTGGATTGATTCAGTGGCTGGGGTAATTGGGATGGGTGTGTCAAGAGACAGTGCAATTGGCACGGGACAGAGCAGAATTTAGGGCTGTTGTACATAGGGTTGCTATGAGTCGCAAGCGACTCGATGGCACATAACAACACAACAACATGGCTAAAAATAAGTCTTAGTGAACTCTTGTTTATTTATGCCTATGGAAAGAAGTGCTGGCACAGATAAGTAGGTTTTCTTTTCCTTTGAAGACTATAATTGAGTTTAGCTGTTTTTTATGAAGTCACATGATGGGTGAATAGCTGTAATCCAGTGAGTCCTTTAATTTCTCTATCCTTGTATCTATTTTCCATTCCCTTAAGGATAGAGATGGTGACTGGGCTGTATACTAGGAATAGAGCCCAAGACTGAGTAAGAAAGCACAGCTTATCAATACTTTAATAACACTAACACAGAAGATAAGTGCCAGAAAACAAGAAAAGGACACTTTTAAAGATAGTTACTAGCTTGATTGGGAAAATCAGTATTACAGAATGTTTCTTTTCTAATAGAAATGTAACACACTAGTAAATAATATGCTTAATAGTAAAAGTCAGATGTAGAGAAAATGGATGTGAAGTTTTTCCATTTCTCATTTTTCATAGCCGAAAGAAGCAGAAGCTTTTCTTTTGAGTCTTTCAGAAGAAATTCAGAGGCGACTTGAAGCCGCTAACATGAAAGGTAAACGCCTGACTCTCAAGATCATGGTGCGAAAGCCAGGGGCCCCTGTTGAAACAGCAAAATTTGGAGGCCATGGAATTTGTGATAACATTGCTAGGTAAGCCAACCTTTTTTTAAAGGATAGTGTAATTATATTTCAGTAAAGGTTATTAAAATTCAAACACAGTGAAGATAATGAAAAATGCATTTGAATAAAGGCCTCTTAACTCTTGATGTTACAGCTATCTGTCCAGCCAGGCCTTAGCTTAGGGCCACTTGCCTTACGCAGATGTAGTTCTCCTGATCAGGAGAACAGCATAGCAGCAGGTCGGCTTCTCAGTGTTTTCTCAGGCCTCAGTAGCCTCAAAGCAAATCAATGTAAGCTTTGATTTTAATGCATGGACAGAAAGAAAAGAACAGATAACACTCTTGCAGAGAGAAGAGTCTTTCTGGATTTGGTTATTTCCTGAGGGAAATGTCATACTTTCTATTACTTTTTTTTTCTGGTCTAGGACTCCGTTGATTTTTTTTTTTTTTTTAAATACTAGTTTACTTACAAAATTCGAATGCAGTGTTTTTCACACCAGATCCTTCCCATTTCTCTCACTTCTCCCTTCAAATTGTATGACTTCATGATTAATCCCTCCCATACATCCTCACCCCTCTGCTTCCACCTCCATTGATTTTAAAAGCATGATTGAATTTTATTTCATTTACTTTTCAAAATAATTTGAAGAAGACTTTTATTCATGTAGGTTAGTATAATTTGTTTGTGACATAATTACTGTAGTCCGTGAAACTATTGTAGAGTGTTGAAGTGTCTTGTTATGTGACTTCTGTTGGTAAGAAACATACAAAGTTTGTGACTAATCTTTATTTTTTTCTGAGTAGTTTAAATTTTTTTTATTAATTTTAATGAAAATTTACAGACTTTTATAATTAAATTTTATTCATTTTAATGAACATTTACAGAGATTTTGGGTTTCCATTCATTTATTGTTGCACTGTTTTCTCTACCCTCATCCCCAGTTCATTCTTTTTCCCCACCCCCGAATGTCTGTTTTAATTGTCCAATTGCCACAGTGCTTGTCAAAGCCAGTTCTGATTAATCTCCTTTGTCAGTGTGTCCTTGGCCATTCCCTATCACTCCTCCCTGAGAGAGACTTTTGATTTCCATTCATTTATTATTGCACTTTTCTCCCTGCTCCCCCAGTACACTCTTCTCTTTGAAAAATAAAAGTGCCTCATTGTTCCCCCATTGTTTTAACCACCCCCCAGGTCCACTCCACTATGTAGCCTTTGTTCTAGACTCCTGTCATGACAATAATACCTAATCACACCTTCCAGCTCAGATTTTATAAAGCCTATGTTATATGAAAAATTTTTGAGGTATATATGTCTGTGTTCCATTGACTATGCAAAGACTTTTGACTGTGTGGATCACAACAGACTGTGGCTAACTCTGAGAAGAATGGAAATCCCAGAACACTTGATTGTGCTTTACAAAACCTATACTTGGACCAGGAAGCATTCATCAAAACAGAGCAGGAAAACACTGCCTTGTTCAAAATCAGGAAAAATGCATCCGATCACCATAACTTGTCAATCTAAATGCGGAACAGATCATCTGGGAGGCTAGGTTCTATGAGGAGGAATGTGACATAAGAATCTGACGAAGACTCATTAGCAACCTGCATTACACAGATGACACAACCTTACTTGCTGAAATTGAGAAGGACCTGAAGCATTTGTGGCAGAAGATCAAGGACTACAGCCTTCACTATGGATTGAAATAGAATTGAGAAGACAAAGATTTTCTCCACTAGGCTGATTGTCAGCATCATGATAGATGGTGAAGAGATTGAGATTGTTAACAGCTTTCGTTTGCTTGGCTTCACAGTCAACACTCTTGTTACCAGCAGCCAGGAAATCAAGACGAATTGTCTTGATCTGCTCTCAGGGATCTCTCTAGAGTAATTGAGTACTGAAGAGCATCTATGTCAGTCTAGACACTAAAGTGCACCTGATATAGGCTCTCGTCTTTGCAATTAATTTCTGTGCATCAGAAAGCTGAACCATGACTAAGGATGATAGAAAAAGTGATATCTTTTGAGTTGTGGTGCTGGAGAAGAGTATTGAATATACCATAGACTTCTAGGAAAACAATTTATAACATCTTTTTGGAAGTCTGTTTTAAGACCTGGAACTAGTAAATTGCTGTTTTATCTCCATTCGTAATTGAGTTTGTAAATCTCTTATGTACTTCTGTAATGTTAAATCAATCTTTTAGTTTTATATAAAACTACACATGTGTAAAAACAGAACTTTTCTGTAATGGAAACTTAAATCTATTCTTCTATGCCATCAGTTTTCTGCATTCATTTTGCCTTTGTCTAAGCATATATGGAAAGAGGAAGGAACTACTGAATTTTAAAAAGATACATGGCAAGATTTATCTTCAAAAACTAAATCATTTTCCTTTGTATAAAGGTCCAATAGTAATTCAGGCCCTCCACCTGGTCCATATGTGTTTTTAAAATACGTGATAGTTTCTTAGCATTGTTATTGTTGTTGATTGCCTTTGAGTTGAACACTATTCATAGTGACCCTATGTATAAAAGGCCTGCAGCCTCTCTGCAACTATCAACATTTATGAATGTTAATAGAGTTTCCTGAGGCATGTTGTTTAGAAAGTACATGGTACTCCAGACCTGTCATAGTATGTTATTGTTGTTATGTGCCATTGACCCTGTGATGTATAGTGACCCTGTGTACAGCAGCTCTGAATCCTTCCCTATCCTGAGCCAGTCTTACTAATTCTGACACACCAACCCCCATTGCCCCAGTTACTATATCAATCCATCTCATCTGGGGTCCTTCCTTGCCTGCGCTGGCCATGTGCCCCAAGTGAGTGAGGTGGAGCTTCAAAACCCTAGCCTCCAAAGAGAGACTGTGTTTAACCATCTCCAACATAGATCTGTTTGTTTTCTTGGAAGTCCATGGTATATTCAAGACTCTTCTCCAGCACCACAACTTGAAGGCATCTATTCTTCTTCTGTCATCCTTAGTCATTGTCCAACTCTCTGAAGCATAACAAGTAATCGAGAAGACCATGGCATGGATTAGATGTCTATCATCCTTAGTCATTGTCCAATTCTCTGAAGCATAACAAGTAATCGAGAAGACCATGGCATGGATTAGATGCACCTTTGTCTCTAGACTGATACTGTGGCTTTTCAACACTCTGGAGGGGTCCATTGACGATAGATTTTCCCAATACAGTTTATCTTTTGATTTCCTGAATGCTGGTGTTAAGAGTGTTGATTGTGGATCTGAGCAAGTTGTGTAATTGCTAACAACCTCAATCTCTTCTCCATCTATTATGATGCTGCCAATTGGCCCAGTAGTGAGAATCTTTGTCGTCTTGATGTTGAGCTTCAATCCATATTGAAGACTACAGTCCTTGACCTTTTGCAGCAAGCATTTCAGGTCTCTTCAGTTTCAGCAAGCAAGTTGTATCATTTGCGTTACCATAGGTTGTTGAGTCTTCCTACAGTCTTGATGCCACACTCCTCCTCATAAAGCCCTGCTTCCTGATTGATCTGTTCTGCATACAGATTGAAAGGTTTGGGGACAGGATGCATCCCTTATGCACTCCTTTCCTGATTTTGAACCATGCAGTGTTTCCTTGGTCTGTTCTGAGGACTGCTTCTTGGTCCAAGTATAGGCTTCATATAAGCACAAGTATTCTGGGATTCCCATTTTTTCAAGGTTAGCCACAATTTATTGTGATACACACAGTCTTTTGCATAGTCCATGAAACACAGATGGATATTCTTCTGGTACTCCCTGGTTTCTGCTAAGATCCATCTGACACTGGCAGTATGTTTTGGTATTTTCAACAGTACCTGTAGACTTACTTGTTTAAGCTTAATATAATCACCCTTTGTCTAATCCTTTTTTCCATAATCCAGCTACTCCAAAATTCTAATTGTATCATTAGAAAAATTAAGATTAATTATACTTTGTTTGTTTCCCTGTTGAAGGATAATAATATTCATTTAGGGGTTTAATAAATAGCTCTGCTTAAGGTTTTCATTGAAGTTCCTTTTTTGTTCTAAACTTAAAAAAAAAAGGGTTCTTTGAAAAACTTAGATATATGCAAAATAATGACGGAATAGCATAATGAACTTCCACATTCCAAACCACTTGATTCAGCAGTGATCACTCTTGTTTCACTGCTGCCCCTATGCCATCTTCCCCCAACCCAGTTATTTTCAAGCAAACCTCAGATTTCCTCATAAGCATTTCTCAGCAAACCTGAACTATTACGTAAGTTTTTTTCTGTTCATTTTGTTCAACCTGCAAAAAACTCCTTGTTTTAAAAAAAGTAAGACAGTTAAAAATCTGCTTTGCATTGCTGAAAATGAATATTTATCCTTAAAACAGTAACTTCAAATGAGATGAAATTCAAAAAGAGCCTATGAATAATAAAAACAAAAATATTTCATAGAGTTTATAAAGAGAACTCTTTGTGATAGGACAACTCGTAAGCCTTGTACTTATACCTAACATTTTGGTTCATCTGTATTTTCATAAACTGTTAAGTTCATTTATTATAATAACCAAGAAGCATAATCTGTCGCTATAGCTTCTTTTCTCACCATAGCGAACATATAGGACCGAGTAAATCTGTCCCATAGCGTTCCTAAGATGATTCTGTTTCTGAAAACAGACTTCTTCATCTTTTCTTCTTTGGGGACTAGCAGATGGGTTGAAGAGCTGACCTTTTAGTTACAGCCATGCACGTAATAGCTGCCCCAATGTGGACTTTTACCGACCTTTATATTTCTACAACTCAGAGGTTAGCAAACTACTTTCCATGAGTTAAATCCAGCCTGTAGCCAAATTTTTTATGACCTGTGATATACCATTAGGTTAGACTGAAAAACAATGGTAAAAATGGGGGTGGGGGTACACAAAAAACAAGACTATAAGAGACTGTTGTGTACCTTTAAGTTGCCACTGACTGCTAGGTGACCCTCCAGTGGGTCTTCAGAGGCTGTAAATCACACGGGCAGAGATTACCCATAGCTCTACAAGTAGCACCGGAGCAGGCTGGTGGATCCTTCAGCCCTTGTCAGGAGACCATAAAGCACTAAGAACCATATGTTCTAGTTTCTCTGCACGTAAGATAGGATACCACTGGTTTTCCTTTGGCATAGCCATCCTTTTTTTTTTAAAATCCAGTAATAGAACTCTTGCAACAAACAGCATTGTAATGAGCATGTTGATATGTTAATTTTCTCAGTGACATTACCTTCAATATAATGTAAAAGGATCAGTCATAATCCAAAACATAAGAAATGTGTCTCTTTAATGTTAGCTGACCTGTCACATAGATAATCTTGGAACCAAAAACTTTTCTTGGAACTAGCATGTTTTTACCATTTATGCTTTTTAGCTGCAGTATAAGAACTCTGGTGGCCTAGTGCCAAGAAGCTGCACGGCACTCCTGAAAGCTCAGTTTCAGGCCACCATTTGCTCTGCGGGAGAAAGATGAGTAATCTCCTCCCTTGTGATTAACTGCCTCCTAAATCTTGCCAGAGGGTCAGCTATGGGTCAGGTTTGTCTCTGTGGTACACAACAGCAATAAACAACAAATTGAAATAGAATTGTACATGCCTTCATTTATAAGCACTTTAGGACCAGTTCTCTTACTAGTTTTTACCTGAAATTCCAGTGTTCTATCTCATTGCTGTTGAGTTAGTACCAACTCATAACTAGCTGACCCTCTAACAGGTTAATCAGAGATTATAAATTGCGTGGGAAGAGATTGTCCCTCTTTATCCTGTGGAGCCATTGATGGATTCAAACTGCCAGAGGTGCAACCTTTTGAGTTTTTCTATTCTCCCTTGATGTCAGTGTAACTAATTTCATGTTACTGAGCTTGTGGAAGGAGGTCGATCTCATTTTTAAAGATCATATATAGTACTTAAGTCTATAGTGGTCTAGTGACTAAGGAGCAGCACTGCCAGCCTAAAGGCAGGCAGTTCACATCCACCAGGATGCTCTGCAGGAGAAAGCTGGACCATCTCCTCCCATTCGATTTATAGCTTCAGAAAACCTGCTTGGGTTTCAACTATGTATCGGTTTCTGTTCAACTGTAATGAAAGTTTTAGAACCTATTTTAACTACTTTTTGCCTTTTTTTTACAAACTTTCTCCAACTCTTTTAAACTAACAAGAGAGTTCTGGTGGCCCAGTTAGTTTGGTAAGGGTGTTACATTGCCAACCTAAAGGCAGGCAGTTTGACTCTACCAGCTGCTCAGCAGGAAAACCTGGGTAATATTCCCTTCTAGTGCGAATTACAGCCACTGAAACCCGCGGAAGGTATGTGCCCTGTTTGATGGCACGTAACAGCGTAGTGCTAATGAGGGAGCTTTGGTACCACAATCTGTAGGGACTAATGCTGCTAATTTGTAGGCAGATGGAATCTGCCAGTAGCTACAAAAAAGACAAGCAGAGACCTCTGCCATGTGATTTTCAATCTCAAAAAAACCCACTGCAGAGTCAGTCAGGAGTTGATTCTGGCTCGGTGGCAGTGAAGTTCTTTGTACTATTTGATGGAGTAGTGTTTAGTGCTCACTGCTAAGCCAAGGCTGGCCTGAACTCGCCAGCAGCGAGCCATGGGGAGAAGGACGGCCAGTCCCGGGAGACAATTCTCTTCTCACAAGGACTTTTAAGAGTCCAGATGAACTTGCCAACAAGTTTGGTTTTGGATTTTTGTTAATACTACTAAACAGGTACTGGTTCAGTATATATGGAATGTACATTTTGTTCGTTTAACAAAATACTTACATCATTTCTAGGACTGTAACTCTGGACCAGGCCACAGATAGTGCAAAGATAATCGGGAAGGCCACACTAAACATGTTTCACACAATGAAACTAAATATAGCGGACATGAGAGGGGTGAGTATCTGAAACCTGGAAATGCTGGGTGTTTTTCATTTGAAGATTCATCTAAAAAGGGTCATGGTGTATGTAGTAAGGCATTCATGGGAAACTCTTCAGCTCTTTGATAAAATCCAAGCAGAGAAAAAAAATTACTTTCTAATTTGAGCTAATTACATTATTTTTTGGAGAAAAATCAGCTATGTTCTGAAATCTAGTTTGCTTCCTGAAATAATCTTGGATCTTTACAGTAGTACTTTATTGAAAATTTACTTACATGTATCACTTCATTCCACTTGTTATTTCCTACAGCATAGAAATAGGACTATAAAGAGTGTGAATCTGTAAATAATATTTATACTTTTAAGGTCCCTTTTCAACAGAAGCTTGTTTTGATGTTTGCAGTGTGATGCTGTAGAAAGGAGCATGTGTCAGGTCACACAGGATGATAGGCAAGAGGGCAAGAAAAGGCAGCACTCTCCAATCTTAGGGATTATCATTTGTAGCTTCAATTACATGTGCTTATACATCCAAATAAAGGGAATATTTTTATTTGGCTTTTATGGAACATTGAAAGTCATTAATCTTTGTCATTAAAAACTTTACCCTGAAATTTTAATAATGTTGTGTATCGTCGAGTTAGAACTGACCCATAGCTGACCCTACAGCAAGTTTTCAGAGGCACTAAATTGCACAGGAGATTGCCTGTCCTCCCATGGAACATTTGGTGGATTTGAACCATGCACCTTCAGGCTTACAGCTCAACTTCTTGCCACTAGTCCACCAGATCTCCCTGTATTATTTTAGTAGATACTATAGTAAATATTAGTATACTTTCGTAAGGTACTCTAATGTACACACACTTTCCCCTGTTTACAAAAAAAGTACATTGTAAAAACAAAATTGAAGATATTTTATAAAGCTTTTAAAAATCTTACTTTATAAAACCTTAGCCAGCTGCACTGCAATCCCAGAGGTAGGTGGTTCAAATCCACCAGATGCTCTGCTGGAGAAGGAGGGGCAATCTCCTCCTGTACCTGTCAGATCTGATTTGATGGTACACACACACAAAAAATTTTTATTTTATTTTTTAAAAATTTTTTTATTTTATTTTTTATTATTATTTTGTGTGTCTGTGTACCGTCAAATCAGATCTGACTGGTACAGGAGGAGATTGTCCCTCCTTTCCCGGCAGAGCATCTGGAAAAAAAATAAAGAAAAACCAAAACAACACACCCTTTAACCAAAGTGAAGCTTCAGTGGAAAACTATATTACACTTGTTTGAATATTCTGCTTTTAAAGAAGTTGCAATATATTTGAGTATAGTTTAATAATGTAGATTCAGGTGAGTTAATTCTCACTAGGTGTTCTATAATCATACATAAAAGCTGTTACTTCTCTTGCTATATATTTGTGTGTCCCTTTATTCTGAAAAGAGAACCTAGTATTAAAAATAATTTGAAAGTTTTACTTAGTGGACTTTTAGGTTTTCATTTTCCCAGAAACATGTTTTCTTTATTCTGGTTTAGGTTGGGATCCAAGTGAATCAGTTGGTTCCTTCTCATCAGACACCCCCGTCATGTCCCAGTCACCCATCGTTGCAGTCCAGCCACCCCTCTGGTGCATCACACTCCCTCATTGACCTCTTCCAAGTTCAGAAAGCTAAGAAAGCCACAGACGAGGAGCACAAGGAAGGTGAGTGGTTGGTCTGCATGCCTCTCATCTTGGCAGTGCGTGGCATAGCTCTCTATTTTAAGAGACTAAAGCACATTCTTAATTCTAATTAGTCAGTAATAAAATTTCATTCTTTCCTATGATGTTTACAAAAATGTACTTGGTAATAGGGGCAGTCAACTGGACTAAAATGTTTTACACAAGATAATCTGAAGATATTTTCTCTCTCTCCTGTGTTTTACTTGTAGTATTCCTGGCATCTATGGATCTGGAAATATCATCTGGGTCTAAAGCTTGTCCTTTCTTGCCATCTCTTTCTACACATCTGACATCGACCATCAGTCCAGTTTCTAGTAAAGCCGAGTCTTCCATGAGATGGAAGGGTCTGCATTCTCCTATCAGTTTGAAATCAAGACTTAACCTAAGTATAGAGGTCCCATCACCTTCCCAGGTATATTTTAATGCTGTAAATGTAAGTGCAAAAGTGATTTTACACTGAAAATTACCTTTTTTTAAGTTCTTAAATAGTATAATCAAGCCTTGGAGAAAGGAGTACATTAGTGTAGATAATGAACTTGCAGAATACGAAACAGTTTTTGAAAGTCACACTCATTGTCAAGTTGGAACCAACTAGGTGCCGACCCTGCAGTGAGTTTTCATATAGGAAGAGGTTGTTCATCTTTCTCCCTCAGAGCTTAGTGTTCTCAGAACAGTAATCAAGTTAGGTAAAAGATTTATGTTTTTGCAAAGATTTGCAACTCTTTGAAGATTTACGAAGTGTGAGGTTGATGGGTTGAGTGAATTCACCAAGTGCTCTGAGGTAGGAGGATGGCAGTCTCCTGTGAAGATTTCAGCCTTGGAGACCCAATGAAGGGTGGCCTTTTGGGTTTTACCTATTTTTATTGGCAGTTAATGTGTGCTTACTCTGACAAATGATGGTGATCAATAGAAAAGTTAAAGCCTGTATAACTTCTTTGTTAACCAGGTAGAGGAATGATTTTATTGTACACATTCATTGACATTTGAAGCCCCTTGCAAGCCTGCAGATCTCTCACTCTTAAGCTATACTGTGCAGGTATGTGTGGCTACTTCTTCCTCCAGTGGGAGATTGAAGGAGGTGCAGCTGCTTAGAAGGGGATTCCCTCTCCCCTGAAGAGCACCTGTGGATCAGCAACCAGAACTCCCAGGGAAGACTAGGGAGTAGAGGAATTCTGATACACTTACAGTGTGGTCCAGTTGTGTGACATCCCAGTACACTTAACTGTTATCATTGATTTCTAGGGAGGTAAAATTGCCCATTTGTGGCTGTGTACGTTTCTAAAACATGTTCACAGATGAGTGATGGAGGACCTGGCCAAAGGAACAGGGGGTTTTGGTGTAGGGGTTAACGAAAAGCTGATGACCCTTTCTTCTAGCTTGCTGTGCTTTTTCTTTATATTTAGTAAACTCCTGACCTAGAAATTTAACTTAGTCCTGACAGTATAGCACGTAACACATCACTGGTTCAGGTCACCACCTGTTGCTCAGACAGGAAGGACAGTCTTCTCCTGAAGGGCTTTGCAGCTTTGGAAATCCAGGGTAAGGTTGCAGTGAATCCAGTGCCAATGGGGTGGGGTTTTGACAACTTAGTCCCAATTAATGGCTCTTCCTGGCTTTCTGCCCTCTCGCAAGACAGTAATTAGCAGTAGTCTAAAGAGTGACCTCCAAACTCGCCATTTGACCACTTGTGCTTATATGACAAAAGGCTAGAAGTTTGCAAAATCTAGACCTTCTTTTCATTATCTAAGATGTTCACATTGACATTCAAGGGTTAGGTTAACTCTCCAGACATCAACTTTAAACTCCCACTTGGTGTTTTATAGCTGGACCAGTCTGCTTTGGAAGCACTTCCACCTGATCTCCGGGAACAAGTAGAACAGGTTTGTGCTGTTCAACAAGAGCTACGTGGAGACAAAAAGAAGGAACCAACAAATGGCTGTAATACAGGAATACTACCACAACCAGTTGGAACAGTTTTGTTACAGATACCAGAACCTCACGAATCTAGCAGTGACACGGGAATTAATTTAATAGCCCTTCCAGCATTTTCACAGGTAATCTCAATTTTGGGAACTTGTGCAGTTTAAAAATTTTCACATATCCTCATGCAGCTCAGTCTGGGTCCCTTCTCAATCCCTATTCCTTTGCCCCCTGAACTCAGCAACTTAAAACAAGGATAACCGTAGGGACATCGAAGACTTGTCTCCAGCTCATGTGAGGGGAAAGCTAGACACCTTCTCTGAAGCAAAACTGAGTGTGGCAGTCAAGGGGAGAGGTGCTTACTGCTTCCGTTCAGACATTAGAAAGTTACACAGTATACTTCTGTCCTTGGCGGATCGCCTGCACTTTGTGTGCACAGGGCGACACTGTCATGTTGTGGGAACAACAGCAGTATGAAGCCCCTTTCACGTGAACTTGAATTTTACTCCTGTCTAATTTTAGTAATTTACATTTTATTCCTTATTCTCACCCTAAATATATTGAACATTTAACATATTTCACATTGAGGACATATTAAGAATTCATGCAGTCAGAAAACAAAATTTTGTGAAAAATATGAGCTAGTTGCCATAAGGAGTGAACTCAAGTTTGACTTTGAACCATCTCTTCTGCCAGGTGGACCCTGAGGTGTTTGCTGCCCTTCCTGCTGAGCTTCAAAAGGAGCTGAAAGCAGCATATGATCAAAGACAAAGGCAGGAGGAGAGCGCTCATCAGCAGCCAGCCAGCATATGTGGTAAGCCTTGAGATACCATGTGACAAGGGAAGAGGAGAGTACTGAAGTCACTATTGTACATAATTACTGTAATATACTGGCTTCCACCTGGGTTGTTTTTTAAAGAGCTGTTTAGTATCTGTTCTTTAGTGTAGTCTGAGTTCTGTTTTTATTAGTACTTCTTTAAAACCATTCTTTACCTAAAGGAAGGACCCTCACAGTACGAAAGTGTTCAGTGCTTGTTCAGCCACCCCCTGCTCTGTAAGAGACACGAGGCAGTGCACTATCATGCACTTCAGTCCTGGAAACCCTTAAAGGGGTAGTTCTGGACCACCCTATTGGGTTGTGAGTGGAATGAACCAGAGGGTAATGAGTTTGGTTTTACTTAAATAAGTGTACAATTTGCAAAATGCTTCCTGAGCATCTGTTTTCTTTTTTTCTCTAGTGCCAAAGAATCCTTTGCTTCAGCTAAAAGCAGCAGCAGCGAAAGAAAAGAAACGAAACAAGAAAAAAAACCCCATCAGTCCCAAGAAGAAGATTCACAGTCCTTTGAAAAACAGGCTGCTTGGTAGTCCTGCAAAATCTGTGCCAGGGCCCTGCACGAGTCCCCAGAAGTTGATTGATGGCTTCCTGAAACAAGAAGGTCCTGCAATTGAAAAACCCCTGGTACAATTTATTACAAATTTTTAAAAAATTTTTAGTTTTACTGTCAAGTTTTTCAGGTGCTTAACATTGTGTAAATAACAGTACATTTTGTCACATGGATTTTTTTTTTTTTTTTTACAGGGGGAACTACCTGCTTCCACCTCAGGGGAGCCAGGTGTTACTGACACGCAGGCTGAGCTGTCTGGCTCCATGAGACCACCAGCACCCAATCTAGCTGGAGCTGTTGAATTTAATGACGTGAAGACCTTGCTCAAAGAATGGATAACTACTATTTCAGGTTGGCGTGGCCTCATAAGCTATTATTTGAGAACATGCATAGACTATAGACAAGATTTAATACTATTTGGTAACCTGCTGGTAAGGAATGTGGCATGTGGTTCAAATGCCAACCTCCTTTCAGTTCCAACCACTGGCAGTACTTAACAAGCTTAAAACCAGGCCCACCTCCTAACCTTTTAGAACCTTGCTTTTCAAATTCCTTATTGTGACCCATTCTTTAGAGTGCTTGAGGTCAAGTGTTCTGGTTGTAGAAATGCTGCTTTCCTTTGTTCTAGACCTCTTCCTTCCTCTTTCACAAAGATCCACTGTGTTTTCACCTGAATTTTCCTTTCCCTAGATCCAATGGAAGAAGACATTCTCCAAGTTGTGAAATACTGTACTGATCTGATTGAGGAAAAAGATTTGGAAAAACTGGATCTAGTTATAAAATACATGAAAAGGTACTGTTCTCAGGAAAAAGGACACTTGTCACAACAGCTCCAGAGAACTGGAAGAAGTGTCTACATTTTAAAATGCCATGAGATTGAGCTCATTAAAGCCACAGCAAATACTTATGTTCTAGGGTTTTAGTTTTTGCAGAGTTGCTTCTGTGCTATAAATAAAATAAAACCCTAATCCTATGGATGTGTTTTAGAATCTGGAGTGGCATCCGCTTCCTAAACAACTTGCCACCAGAAACTCATTTGATAAATGTGTATAGTTGTGGAGGGGCTTCAGGCCTTTTGTTCATAGGGTCGTTATGGGTCATGCTCAACTCGAAGGCAGTCAACAAACCTATGTTAATCTGATTCTTCAGAGGACTTGGTCTTTCCCACTAAGATTTCTCTTTCTCTCACTTGCAGGTTGATGCAGCAGTCAGTGGAATCTGTTTGGAATATGGCATTTGACTTTATTCTTGACAATGTTCAGGTGGTTTTACAACAAACTTATGGAAGCACATTGAAAGTTACATAAAATATCACTAGTGCGCTGTGCCATAAGTGCTTGTGAGGTATTTGCAAAGTGCATGATAATAATGCTGAGTTTTTATAATTTTGAATTTTTTTTAAGCAAGTGTTTTGTACATTTCTTTTCAGAAAGTGCCAAATTTGTCAGTATTGCATGTAAATAATTGTGTTAATTCTTTTACTGTAGCATAGATTCTATTTACAAAATGTTTGTTTATAAAGTTTTATGGATTTTTACAGTGAAGTGTTTACAGTTGTTTAATAAAGAACTGTATGTATATTTTGTACAGGTTCCTTTTGTGAATCCTTACAAAACACTCTGGAAAGCAAATGTCGACCCTTATTATACTTAAAGGCTGGAAAAAACCCTCCTGACCAGACTGTTCTAGACTCGCTGCTCAGTTTTGAAACTCCTGAGAGGTCCCTGCCAGGATTCCATTGGTTCCCAGCCAGGGTAAAGCTCCTGAACAGTATCACCAAGCAGTAACAAAAGGATGCTAATAAAATCTTTACTATTCTATGTGAACAAATGTAAATATTTTTAACTCAGACATATTTAGCACGCGCGCATACACATCCATTATTTTTTCCTAGAGAATTAGGTCCCACGTCTTTGCCTCTACTGGCCCTTCAGAAAATGTAATGACTGGTACAGATTCTCATCTCCCCGTAACATTTTAATAATGTAGTTTATATTCCTTTGCCAGTGACTACTTGAAGCTTTTTTTTCTCCTCAAAGCACCCCCACAACTGACTTTA